GGGGTTTAGTTTCTCATACTCACAACACAAAATTTATTGAATTGAAACATCGAAGACATAAGAAAGATTACACCTAAAACGCCCAACAATTCCACTTTGAATTTCTGACTTCAAGCTCCTCTTTCTTCTTCTCCTTGCTGCGGCAGAGAGGGTTTAGGGTGTTTTTGGATGTGATTTTGGTTTTAGAAGGGAGTTAGGATGGTATGGTGGTGCGGCAAGGGGTATGGATGGTGTATGGAGGTGTAGAATGGTGGCTGGAAGGGTAGAATGGTTGCGGCAAGGTGGTATATGGGTGATGGTGGCTGCGGCAAGGTGGGGAAATAAGGTTGGAATAATTTCTGAATTGTGTCTAGAGATGATCCCTGCGGCAAGGAGTAAAAACACATATATATATAGGCACCTAAAACCCTAAAGAAATCAGATTAGACCATGGGCTAGGGTTTAGGTGCGGCAAAGGCTTTAACTTGGCAGAAATTAAATGAAAAAGGGCTTAGGGTGCGGCATAGGCTTAGGATCCACAAGGAATTAGGGTTTAGGTCATCTCAAAGCCCAAAGCCAAGAATAGAAACTCACGAAAATGGAAACCTCCAAGAATAGGAACTTCCAACTTTAGAAACTTTGGTTGCCAATTCCGACTTCTTTGTTCTTCACTTTTATTTCTTCATTTCTTAAGCTCCTTTGACCTTCAAACTTGTCCATTCCTCGTGCTCCATTAGCATACACAACATTCCGGCTCAATTTTGCTCCAAAAAGCTCCAAATTGCATCATTTCATATAATATGTCCTTTAAACCTGAAAACACATGAAAGTAGCTTAAAAGACTACTTTAACGAAGAGAACATAACGAAAATGCATAAAAACTAGCTAACTAAGGCGCATTAATATGCTCCTATCAGGGAATTTGATAGGAGCATATTTATGCAACTTAGTTAACATGTTTTCTTGCACTTACTTAGTTAGTTATTGCTTATAAGAGTGTTTTAAGCTATTTTTGTGTGTTTGTAGGTCTTAATAACAAAGTTGGAAAGAAAGTGCATTTTGGTGCAATTTGGAGCAATTTTGGGCCAAAATTTCGCATGCATATGGAGCAAGTGGGATGGATGTTTTTGGTGTTTTAAAAAGGGATTCAACACATGCAAAAATCTGAATAATTGATAGGAGCATATTTATGCGACTTAGTGAGCTTGTTCTTGTGCATTTACGTTGTGTTTTCTTAGTTAAATTAGTCTTTTAAGCTAGTTTCATGTATTTTCAGGTTCTAAGGACAAAGTATGCAAAAAGGTGCATTTTGGAGCCTTTGGAGCAGTTTTGAGCATAAAATGGATATCTGGATATCACATGCTTGGAGCCAAATGGATGGACGAAATTGAAGATCAAAGGAGGCAAGAAATGAAGAAATGAACATAAAGAACAAAGAGTTCAGAATTGGAAGCCAAAGTTTCTAAAGTTGGAGGTTTCCATTCTTGAAAGTTTCTATTCTTGGATTGGAAGTTTCCTAATCCTTTCTCACCTTGGTTCCAACCCTTGCCGCACCTTTCAAGCCTCTTCCCTCTTGGATTCTGATTTGTTAGGCCCTTTTCCTTGTGGATTTGGGTTCTACACATCCTTTTCAGAAACTAAGTGGGCCAAAACCCTTTTCTTTGTTGATTTAAACCCTAATCTGATTTCCCTAGGGTTGTGCCGCACCTAATGTTCTAGAAGCCTAAAAATCTGCATAAAACCCTAGTTCTTTTCTCCCTTAGATGGGCCAAGCCTTTTATCTCCAAAACCCTAACCTCTTCCCATCAGATTTGTGAAAACCCTAGCTTTGCTGTGCCTATATATATGTGTTTTAAAAGCCTAAATTCGTCACCACATTCCTCCCATTCAGAAATACATCCAGTCGCATCCTCCCCACAATTCTACACCATTCTACATCCCTTTCCACCACCATACATCCTTGCCGTAACCCTCATTCAACCTAAACCTATTTCTGACTCTTTCATACGTCCATAACCATCCATAGACTCTTGTGCCGTAGCAAGGTGGGGAAGAAGAAGGCCCTTGGCATTTCATACTTGCGGATTGGAGCGTTTTAGGTGTACTTCGTTCTTGTTTCCAATGTTTATTTTGTTATTACTTTATGATTTTGCTGTAATCATGAGTGGCTAAACCCCTAATTAGTTAGGGGGAAGTTTGAAGCCATGAACATGCTTGAGATATGAATTGATTTCGTCCAATTGTGATTTGTTAAGTTGTGATTGCAATTCAATTACCTATTTCATTCGTAACTGATTCTTGTATGTTTATTAAGGCTGCATACTTAGTTTTCATACATGAATTAGATGCTAGAATATAAATGAGTTTCACCTAATCGTTACAAGTTTATATTCATTAGTAGTGAAAGTTGCTTATCATAATCGCGTTAATTGAATTCTTGGCAAACGTATCATGCATTCATAGTTACAATTGCCTCGTCAACACTTATGATTTTCATGAAACGTAATGATCTCTTATTGTATCTCTATTATGCATTCATGTAGGGGACTTTTAGAGAATGATTTGGGTTGTTGCATGCATTCATCCAATGCAATGAGTAAAGGAAAATCTGAGGGTTAATTTGTGCATCACGGTTAATCTGGGGTGTTGAGCATCATAATCTATTGAAAAGCAATTGGAAATCGATTCATGTTCAAGTGTGTCATGTGTGGAGAACGGAACTCTAACTAATCGATCCATCATCTTATTCATCAAATTTCGTTTTATAATCTGCCTAACTTTATCACTTGTTTATTTGTTTCAAATTCGTCCAATTCAAAACTCCCCTTTTACTTTCTTGTTTCAAAGTGCTCAATTTAGGTTTTGTTTGTGTTTTTGAGTGTTTTGGTTCAAACCAAAACACTAAATTCGTCCAAAATTGTGTTAAGGTCAGAATCTGCCCAGATTGTGTTTTTAGGCAGTTTTGAGTGTTTTTAAGCTGTTTTGAGTCCCTTGAATCTATTCAAACGTTTTTAACTTTGTTTTTATGTTTTTGAGTCGGTTTAGAGGTTTTAGCAAGCCCTCCTAATCCCCGGTTTAGAACGATCCCTACTTGCATTTATACTACGATTTGACAACAAGAGGGTGTAATTTGTGTGCTTAACTTTTATCACATCAATAATGAAGTTGAAGTGTGGAAGTGTGCTGATACATACACTTAAGGAACAATTTGAAAGGAAAAGAAGTGAAAGATGCCATTTGTTGGATTGCTTTACAAGATGTATTCACATTTTCAGCAACTACAAACATAATTGCAAGCTGAAATGATGCATAGCATGTGTGTAGAGGTGTAAAGTGGCCGAAAGTTGATGTTTGCAAGATGAAATGATGCAAAACATGTGTGTGAAAGTTGTCTAACAGCTAGTACATGTGGAAAAGGGATGAAATACAAGGCAAATGCATCAGAAATTGAAGAATGAAGGCACATGGACAACTACAAAGGAGTTGAATTAGCAAAAGAGGAATGATTGCCTTTTGTTAAAGGCAAGACATAATGATAAAAGAGCATGTAAACTAGCTGTTTTTGCATCATTTTGGTCTTTGTTTGTATTGTTTATTGAAGCCACTTGAGTTATTCTTTGCTTTGGAGCTTCTATAAATAGGGAGTGAAGGGAAGAACACTACACATTACACTACATCAAAAACACAATCAGCCACACCACCCATTCTCCATCCATTTTTTTAGCCAAACCCATCTACACATTCATACACTACGTCACAAACACATTTTCAGCCATCTTTCTCTCTTTTGCCACACCCCCCCATCCATCCTAAACACCACCATACCATCTCCCGTCCATTCCTCCATACAAATACCATCCAAACCTGTCCCCAAAACCTTGTGCCGTAGCAAAGAGGAAGGAGGAGAAGCCTTGGACGTGCATGCCATTCAAGTTAGGATCGTTGGAGCGTTTAGGTGTTTTCTTTCTTTTGATTTCAATGTTTAAATTCTATACTCTTTGTTTTGTACGTATGAGGAACTAAACCCCCCCCTTGGCTAGGGGGGATTCGAAACCATGTTTATGCTTGCTATATGATTTGATTACTTTCAATTGCGTTTCATAAGTTGTGAATTCAATTTACTTATCTACATGAATTAAAACTAATTTGTGTGTGTTGGTTGAGAGTGCACGCTTAATTTTCATGCATAAGTTTGATGCTAAGATATAAGGGAATTTCACCTAATCGTTATGAACTTATATTCAAAAGTAGTAAAGGTTGTTGATCACAATCGTGTTAAGTAAATTCTTGGCAGAAGTTTCATGCAATTCATAGTAACGAGTGCCTCGCCAATGCTTACGATTTTCATAGAACTTAATGATCCTTGCTTGTATATTTGTTATGCAATTCATGCAGGGAACTTGTGAGGAATGCTTTGGGTTGTTGTATGCAATTCATCCAATTCGATAACTTTAGGAAAATCTGAGGGTTAATTAGTGCAATTCACAGTTAATTTGGGGCGTTGGGAATTCATGGTTTACTGATAAGCAATTGGAAATTGTTTTGTATGCAAGTGTGACATGTGTGGAGAAGAACCCCCTAGCTAGCTTTCCATCCATTCACTTTTATCAAATTTGTTTTAGAATCTGTTCAATTTACAAAGTTTGTTCTTGTTTTCAATTTTTGTCAAAACTCAATCCCCATTTATTTTGAAGTGTTAGATTAGTTAGAAATCAATTTAGTTTGTGTTTTTAAGTGTCTTGAGTCAAGTCATAACCCAATTTCGTCCAATTTAGTGTTAGGTGTTCAAAACTGCCCAGAAAGTGTTTTTAAGGCAGTTTTGAGTGTTTATTTGCTGTTTTGAGTCTTTTGGTTTGTTTTGGTGTTTTATAGTTTAGTTTTGCATTCTTTGAGTCTAGTTTAGTATTTTAAACTTTGTTTTTACATTTTGAGTCAGTTTCAAGTGATTTGCCAATCCCTCCTAATCCCCGGCCTAGAACGATCCCTACTTACATACTTTGCTACAATTGATAAAAAGAGGGTTTAATTTGTGTGCTTATATATTTCGCATCACACACACACACACACACACACATCTATATATATATAAAAACAAGTGTAATATCTGGCCAAATTAATAATATAACAAAAACCCCTAAATTGTGGCAACAAAACCTAGCTAGATCTGCCAGAACAACAAGCTATATAGCCGGTCCATCTGCGGTGCTTCATAAAACTGCATTAGGCCATGCAAAAGTACACAGCCTTTGGGACCTTGTGCTGCTCTTTTTGGCATTCACCATATTTACGTATTATCTCAAACTCTCACATTCATAGTATCTGCATTTACTTGCAAAACCCTTTTTTTTCCAAGGCCGAAAGCAACATCTGGTGGTCCTCCGCGGACCACCCATCACCTGGTCTGGACGGTGCCCTTCCCCTTAATTCGTTGTGACATTTTGGCGCGTTGTCGTCGGGACCACCACCAGAACAGACTGCGCGTGTACTACTCGCTTGTTCAAGGAGCGTTCTCTTAGGGTAAAGTCTATTTTCTTCTGAAGACTTTCCCATTTTGTCAATACTGAAACTGAAGGGCTTGCTGCCTCACGGAGGCATCATTCTCCAACGCTCGGAATTGCCTCAAGTCCGGAGCATCCTCCGACACGCACCACACCTTTACTGACCGGTCGAGGCTCCCACTGTACACCACCCATCGCTGATCCGTCTTATCCTTAGAGCCATGATCTTCCACCACGGTTAAGCACTTGACGGGTCCTGTGTGGCCCGTCAAAACAGACAAGCAGGTGTGGGGCCCACCTGCATCCCTCCTCCAGACGCAAATGTTCTTGTCCGCCGATCCGCTGAAAACAAAGTTTCCCGCTGCAGACAAGCACAGCACGGCCAGTTTATGACCGCGCAAAACCCCGCCGTGGGACAGGTGCTTCTCGCGCTCCCAATAATTAACCAACCCATCGGAGGACCCGCAATAGACAATCGCCGCCTCTTTGTTCACAACCAATGCAGTCACTGCATTCTCCTGCTTCAGCAACGTCTGAACCAACACATGCGTTGTCCCCTTCCCTTGCAATTCCCTCCTCCACACCTTCACTGTTCCGTCCGCGGACCCGGTGAACACCAACGACTCAACCCCCACGACGACACTGTTTACTGCATCGTCATGAGCTGCGACCGACTCCAAGCATTTGGAATCCGCGATTCTCCAAACCTTGAAAGACTTATCCCACGACCCTGAATAAAGAAGTCCTTGTTCTTCGTTCATGCTCATGCAAGACACCGCATCAAAGTGTCTGATTCGAACAACGTTGCGGTGTCTACGGACCTCCACATAGTTTTTTGGGTTCATAGAGCTCCGAATAAAATCTTTCATAGTAGGCAAGCTTCCGACCCGTCTGTGATTGCTTGGATTTTTCGGAGAAACCTTCCAGACTCGGATCTTACCATCCTGATGACCGGTAAATATCCTCTCACCGGAAATCACAATGGCTTTGACCAACCCGCTCTTTGATTTGAAACCTGTAAAATCCTTCAAGTTCTTCCAGACACGTATGTTCCTGCTATCGGACCCAGTGTATAGCAAGTCTCCTTTGATAGCGAGCGAGTATATGTGGCCTTCTTCCCGGATTAATGACCCAATAAGTCCGTTTAAGGGGAAGTTCTCGTCCAGCGGATTCAATGGCGACGGTGTTATCCACGGTGACTTATTGTAGGGTGACGCTGTTGCCGGGTTCCATGGCGACATGACATAGGGTGAACCCTCGGTGCTGCTGCCCTGAGTACAATTGTCGTAGTATCCAGGACTTGTCGCCGAGGCACTGCTACGGTGTGTTGAGTAATCATTATGGTGGCTATGGTCGTTTTTGCTGGTATGTTTGTTGGCAGTTGTCGGAGACGGTAAAGATGGGTCGGAGGAATGCAAAATGGCTCCGAATTTTGGCTTGTTGGGGTGGAGGGCATTGCGTTCTGCTACCATGGCGCCTCCTCCTCTTTCGTTTCTCATTTACAATTCTGATGAGAAAAAAAGAAATGAAAATGTGGAGAAAAAGAAGAATAGAATTTGAATATTGATTAAGTGCGAGAAAATTGAGAGGATTTTGATGGAAAGTGAGGGAAAATTCTTGGTGAACAGAATGATGGAATTTTTTGTTAATTGAGATTTGGAAAGGTGGGAGAGGAGTAAGGGAGTATATATAAATAGGAAGGGTAAAACGTGTGGTGGGTATGGGTTGGTGACACGTTCTGGGATGAGACGTGGTTGTTTTATACCGGGAAACCGGGTGAGCCGGTAATTTAAAACCAAAAGCTGAATTTAGTTGTGAGCGGCTGGATGGATTGGATTTTGGACAGCATAGTTTTTGGTTTTTTGTTAATTGTTTTCTGGAGATTAATGTTCACACGTTTTTTTTTGGGAAGAAATACGAAACGGGTTTTTTCAGCATGCGTGTGGATTGTTGTTACAATTTATGTGCCAATTCGGAGGTCTGACTTCACATATCCAACGTTGAATTTGATTTCGAGTTGGTCAAGGATTTACGTTACTTGGGTTAACACGATATCGTTTTGTTTCTGTTTCATAAGTGTTGAGGCTTTTCAGTTCTGTGCGTGCACATGCAAAATCGGTTTTCATGTAATACGTGGATGATAATTGGATTGAATTTAACAGTAAATTGCGGTCTGAAGTTAGAAGTGTAGAAAGATTAGTGGGAGATGGGATTGCAATTTTGACGGTAATTGAATATATTGAATAATCGAGAACTTAGTGTTTTATTTGTTCACAACTTGTTCCTACTTCCACTTTAAACTGATCACTTAAGTTTCGCACAGAGATATTTTTAGAAAAGTTTTAATCACTGAAGTTTTACTGTGAATAATAATAAAAAAAATAATTTATACTAAGTTGAACGTAGTAGGGATAACTCTAGAGTTTGCGATCAGATACTTAATTATTGCATTAAGAGGCATAAGAAGCACACATATACTTCACTTTGAGGGCCAAAGTCGATTTAGTGGCAAACAAGAAAAACAGTGAAAATAACTTCAATGCCTTAGAGCTAGCCAACGCACCAGTACAAATAACAGTTTGAGAGTTAGCACAATGAAAACTCCGTCAACCGGAGACCGTCGCACAAAGGTCCTGAAAGCAGGGTTTGCGTGACGATGGCATAATCTGCGTCGTGCAAAAAGTCTTTGCGCGACTACGAACCTATGTCGCGCAAAAGGACTTTGCGCAACAACAAACCTATGTCGCGCAAAAGGTCTTTGAGCGATGACTAACTTGTGATGCGCAAAATATTTCGCACAACGCACCTTCTTCCCATTGTCGCACAAAGATAGGTGTGCAACATAGGTTGCTATCATCGCGCACAGACCTTTTGCACGATGCAGTTATTATTGTTGTTGCGCAAACCCTTAATTTTTTTTTGACAAATTATTCTTATTTAATTTTTATAAATATTTTAATTAAATTATAAACAATAATTAATAAACCATGAAAAAGTATTAAATTATAAAATATATGAAAATGTACGTACAAGTTGTTCGAACAAAAAAGAAAAAACTATAGCAAATAGTTGTCGAGGTTCGATGCATCAAGCTACTAGGTATTGGCTGGGTGAAACGGCTAGGAGGTTGAAAATGGAGTCCGGACATCTCGAAGGCCTGTAAGGTCATATGGAGGCTAGACATCTTGAAGGCCCGTAAGTTCATATGCTCATCTTCTCGTCTCGGGCTACAATCTGGGCGTCCTTAGCCGCAATCTTATCTTTTAGGATTGTCACTTCCTTTGTCAGGGCGACGACCTGTTCTGTAGTAGGTTTGGAAGAGGAGGCACCCGTCTCATGAACCCGCGCCTTCCCCATACCACGAACAACCTTGCCATGACGACGATCGAGCATCGTATCTAGGAATCTAAAGACCTACATCCTCGGGTACAGTGACGTCTTCGATCGTGCTCTTCTCCACAATAGTAGCCTATAATAATAAAGAAAATATATTTAATATGTAATAAAAAAATTTAATTAATATTTGAATGATTTAAAAATATCAGAATAATAACAATTACATATACTTACATGGAGCTTCTCATCGCCGGGTCAAACATAAATGTCCTTGAACATGTCGAGCTTTAGGAACTTAGAACCCTCCTAAAGAAAAAAAAATTAAGAAATGTTATTAATCAATAATAATAAAATAAAATTTTAAAATTAATATACTTTTACCTGACATCGCACCTCAACCCTATAGGAGAAGGGTTGATAGGAGCATATTTATGCAACTTAGTTAGCTTGTTTTCTTGCACTTTTATAGTTAGTTTGTGGTTATTATAGTGTTTTAAGCTATTTTCGTGTGTTTGTAGGTCCAAATGACAAAGTTGGCGAGAAAGTGCAATTGGAGCCTTTTAAAGCAGTTTTGAGCATAAAATGGATATCACATGCTTGGAGTCTGATAGGAGCATATTTATGCGCCTTAGTTAGCTAGTTCTTATGCATCTTTGTTATGTTTTCTTCGTTAAAGTAGTCTTTTAAGCTACTTTCTTGTGTTTTCAGGTTTAGCGGACGTATTACATGAAATGATGCAATTTGGAGCTTTTGGAGCAGAAAGTGAGCTTGAAGTGAAAAGGACATGCTTGGAACGCAAGGTTGGGATGAAATTGAAGAGTTGAAGATTTGAGGTTTCCTACTTGAAGTAGGAAAGCTAAGCCTAAAAGTTTCCATTTTGGGTTGATCTTTCCTAAATCGGAATTGGCAACCAAAGTTTCTAAAGTTGGAAGTTTCTATTCTTGGAGGTTTCCATTTTCGTGAGTTTCTATTCTCGGTTTTGGGCTTTTGGATGACCCATCCTTAACTCTTGGACCTATGCCGTACCTAAACCCTAACCCTAGCCCATTGTTTCAGCCGCACCTAGGCCTTGTTCACATGCAAAAATCTGATTGGAAATCCCTAAGCCTATGCCGCACCTTTCCATCCAAAAAGCCCTATTTTACAAACCTTAACCCTAGCCCATTGTTCTAATCTGAATTGCTAGGGTTTTTAAGTGCCTATATATATATTTCTACACCCTAGCCGCAGAGAGACCCCATTCTAAAAATCAGAAATCGCAAAAAATCCCTTCCCCCACCTTGCCGCAGCCACCATTCATTCCAGCCACATCCATACACCTTGCCGCAACTCTCCTTCATTCCAGCCACCATTATACACCTCCATACACCACCCACACACCTTGCCGCACCCCATACCATCCTAATTCCCTTCCTACATCAGAAAACCATCCAAACAGCCTCTAAACCAACTCTGCCGCAACAAGGAGAAGAAGAAAGAGGAGCTTTCTGTGCAGATTTCAAAGTGGACTTCTTTGGCATTTTAGGTGTAATCTTTCTTATGTCTTTGATGTTTCAATTCAATAAACTTTGTGTTGTGAGTATGAGGAACTAAACCCCCTTAGTTGGGGGGTGATTCGAAACCATGTACATGCTTGCAATTTGATTCGATTACATTCAGTTGTTATTTCATGAGTTATGGATTCAATTCGTTCATCTATTTGATTGATAACTTATTTGTGTATGTTGATTGAGAGTGCACGCTTAACTTTCATGCATGAATATGATGCTAGATTATGAGGGAGTTTCACCTAATAGTTACAATCTTATAATCACAAGTAGTGAAGATCGCTTGAAAACGATCGCGTTGAATGAATTCTTAGCATAAGTTTCATGCAATTCATAGTAACAAATGCTTCGTCAATGCTTATGTTTTTCATAGAACGTAATGATTCTTGCTTGTATCTCTATTATGCAATTCATGTAGGGAACTTGTAGGGAATGTTTTGAGTTGTCGTATGCAATCATCCAACTTGATAAATTCTGGAGAAACTGAGGGTTAATTAGTGCAATTCACGGTTAACTTGGGGCGTTGAGTATTCATAGTTTATTGGAAGAACAACTGAAAATCGTTTTGTTTGCAAGTGTGACATGTGTGGAGAAGAACCTCCTAACTAGCCTTTTATCCATCTATTTCACCAAAATCGTTTTTACAATCTGTTTAGTTTCAAGTTTCTGTTTTGTGTTAAATTTTCGTCCAAAACAAATCCCCCTTTAATTTGAAGTCCTAGATTAGTTAGAAAGTGTTTTGATTTGTGTTTCTAAGTATTTTGATTCAAGTTTTCATCAAATTTCGTCCAAATTAGTGTAGGTGCTCAAAACTGCCCAGAAAGTGGTTTTTAGGCAGTTTTGAGCCTTCTAGTTGCTGTTTTGAGTTTTAGGTTTGTTTAAGTGTTTTAACCTTTACTTTTGCATTCTTTGGGTCTAGTTTAGTGGTTTAAACGTTGTTTTTGAGTTTTTAAGTCAGTTTCCAAGTGTTTAGCAATCCCTCCTAATCCCCGGTTTAGAACGATCCCTACTTACATCTTTGCTACAATTTGACAAAAAGAGGGTTTAATTTGTGTGCTTAATATATTTCGCATCAAATTTTTGGCGCCGTTGCCGGGGATTAGCAAATTTTGCTAATCCCTTGGATTGTTTTTGTTTCTTTTATTTCACTTTGTTTCTGATTTTGTTTAAGTTCTGACCTAATTTTGTTTCTTGTTTCTTAGGTACTAATGTATGACTAGAAGCTCTCAAACGATTCGTGCGAACATCTTGGAGTTTGACGACGATTTTGAGAGGAAGTTAAGAAGAGCTAGAAACCAGCAAGAACACCATCCACCCAGTTCCGAATCTGACCTTGAAGAAAACGTACAAGAAGAGGAGGAGGAAGCCACGGCAGGGATATTTGAAGAAGTCCAAGGCATGGCCATGGACAATCGTACACTCAAGGAGCTTTCCGCCTCGGGTTTGGATAATGCCGCACCCTTGTGCATCCAATACCCCGTGGCTGCCCAAGGTAAGACAGATGAGTTTTGAATTAAAGTCAAGTTTACTTCATCATATTCCTAAATACCATGGCTTGTCCATGGAAGATCCTAACAAACATTTGAAAAGAATTTGAAGTAGTTTGCTCTAGTATGACTCCCGTCAATGTTGACGGAAATATTTTGAAGATGAAGGCTTTTCCATTCTCTTTGATGGATAAAGCCAAGGATTGGTTATATGAGTTAGCTCCCGGAACTGTCACAATCGTGGGAAAGTATGAAGAGAGCGTTCTTGGAGAAGTTCTTTCCAACTTCTCGCATCATCCTCC